ATCTCAAAAACCTTCCTGTTCATTAATGCTCTTTCTAATACTCTTTTCTCTCTCGTCTTTTTCTTGCAAATGTAGTAATTTGTTTTCCTGCAGGGTGGATTTGTTTGTTTTAGGTACTCTCACCCAGCACTTTGGATCAAAGAACTATATAATTTAAAATAAGATGTCCTGACAATGTGAAACAAACTCTACTTAAATAAGTGCTATCTTAAGATCACATGTAGACTCATAACATCTATTTATATGGGCATTTCCCACTTGTTTAGGCTTTAGAAACCTAAATATAGATGTGAGGTGCCCAACCGCTGTTTCTCAGACTTGAGTTTAGGTTGTATCAGATCCTGGATTTAGATGGATAAAGAAAAAAAACCCCAAACCTTCTGATACTCAAAAAATGCAAACCCCAGCAGAACTCCCTAAGGGTCATTTTTTATCCCTATCCCAATCTTAAGGATTTCCTGGTCAGTTTATATGTGATGCTTCATCTCTGGCCAGAAAGCACCCACGCCATCTCATACCTTCCCCTGTACATTACTGCAAGGAAGGCTGATATGAATGGTTTTGCCAGGAGATAGAAATCTCCTCCAGAGGTCTTTGATCTGGGGGACACAGCCACATCCCATGACTAATCTTTCCATAGGTCACAGGCCAGCACACCCTTAGACTTATTTGCAATCCAGACACTTGCCAGCAATATCCTGTTCTCTAATTTAGGAAGTACTGATGACTATACACAGGGTTTGGCTCATTCAAATTCCTTCCCTCTCCACTCTCCATTACATTGGCAATTCATCTCCATGCATGTGTGAAGGCTGGAGGAAAATTTCTGTCTCTCAAAAGGACAAAATGTCGTTGTTTGCACTGATGTCTGCTCCATGAATAACTGTGAGAGAATGTGCTAAGGCTGGATTACCATGCCAGTCCTGGTGGCTCCTTCAGATGTTTTTACATCACCCTCACATTGGCAGCATGGTGTTTCCAAACCTACAACTCACCTTTTCCACTAGCCCAGCCGCTATTTCTCCCTTGAGTGGCTTTTTTTCTGTTCTCTTCACGTCAGTCCCAC